GCTATCTGCTCAGACTACATGTGTTGAATTGCAGTAATACCCAACTCTATAAATAACTTATTTTTAGGATTATTGTGGTAGTGTAAGTTGCTGCCTGAGTCGTGAGTCTGTCATTTATCGACTGTAACAACACTAGGTCAATACAGTCATGTACACTAACAATTCATAATGTAATAATTGCACATAATGCGATTAAAAAGTGTAATAAAAGCTGATATTGTAATACTCTTCTAATAATATCATAAAAATGGTTAGCACAAAATGTAATAACTAAAAATAGCATATTGAGTCTACAGATACTTGAAAAACCTTCACCAAAGTTTGAATGTAAACACCCCCCAGGTCTCAGAGGATGTGACCTTGGTGTCCAGAATAAAGGCTACAAACCTAATTCAAGAATATTTCAAGTGTCCATAATATTTGTTTTCTTTCATTTTTCTATAATTTGATCCATCTGCCCTAAACATTTGAAGCATTTGTTGTGTAATGCATCACTGTTGGTTACAAGATCACTGCAACTGACAGGGATAATAAATAAAGGAATCGTTTCTGCAAATACTGGCACAAACATGGTCAGTATACCATCTTACAATGTGCCACAGCTCCCAGTGTCTCACACACATTGTTTGTGAGGTTTTGTTTCCCTGCTGCACTTGGAATGAAAACTCTTCTGCACAGGGACAGCACTCTGCAATCAGGCCCCATTTATGGCAGCCAATCTGCCATTCACTGAAGACCAAGATTGATGATGCCTGTCCTGACTGATTGATACTCAGTGTGAGGTGTCACCGCCCAACATGCACCGCACACTCATAAACCTCAGTCCATCTGGTCAGACACAAACAAGGAAATATGTCCATAAATTCTTAGACCCTTCGGAAATCTGAATGTTGGACAAATGAAGGAGAAAAAACTCCACAGTACTGGATGATCAAACTTGTGTTTAACTCAAATAAACACCACCAGGGGAACAACCGCCCCTCCTTGTGTTCTTCACTCATGTTGCCCTTTTGACCCAAAGACCAAACTAGTTGATTTAAGCAGACACAATGTATTCTTCAGTGACTGCAGCATTAACCACCACAGGCTCCCATTGACACGCAAACGGAAACATTTTTACAACCGCCAAACACCAGTGAACACGTTTAAAGCTGCTTAATTGCAGCGTTGACCTGGGTGGCAGCCACAGACTATTAACTGTAGCGTGGTGCTTAGAAATAAAAAAAAAAAGGCTAATGAGCTAAATACTGCACTGCCAGGCCAGCTTTCAAGTGAGGATTTGTTTCTTTATACAGACTAATAAATGTCTCATGAGAAAACTACAAGGGTTCTGAGGTTCAGAATACACCATGAACAAAACACATTAACACAATTAGAAAACAATTTTTTCTTTCTTTTGCCAATGTCCTTTATGAATTTCTTAGAAATTCAAGGACCAATTCTGATTTGATGTGTTCTGTCCAGTGGCAGAGGAAATATGTAGACCCATTACTTACTGTAGGTAAAAATGCTACCAGTAATGTATACTTAAAGCTACAGTATGTAACTTAAAGTGGCACTAGCATGAAACTCCAAATCAATCCACTCATATTTTTCTGGATTTCAAGAAAAATTATTATCTTGTACACTAAAAATGTGGACCTTGTTAGCACAAGCTATTATTTTGTGCATCAGTATTCTTAAAAACTCAGGATGTCAGGAGTCTGTTTTAAATATACTGTGTTACACAACTGGATTATTATTGTGGGTTAAAATAAAAGGAGGATTTTTATGTTGTTGGGTGTTTCAAAGACCCTGTACAACCATTATTTGAGCCCAGAGGTATTTCGCCTGTGTCTCTCTAACATTCCTGTTTGTTGTGTTGCAGGACAAGGAGTTTATTAACCTCAAGAAAATCCAAATGGAGATTTGCACAACTCAAACCTGAACAGGTTTACTCAGCCACAATAATTGCCAATGCCTGTGTGGATGTGCAGGACTTTTCATTAATAATGCTTCACATATTATAAGCTGATTGTTTGACAAGCATTAATTTTGGAACCTCAGGGCCACTGTAGTTCTGCTAATTATGGCTGATTCTCACATTTGTTCGTCTCCAAAGACATAAATTCATACACTTTATGCAAGACTTTTAATATATCATCTGTGACAAGCTTTTCAAACTTTACAAACTTTACTATGAGATTCAAAAGCTTTTCTGGTACAGTAGTAGCAGGAAATGAGGGCCTCTCTGCGAGTGGCCAGTGCACAGCATGAAGAGCGAGGCACTGACCCGTGGCAACTCACGCAGGTCCACTGAATTTTAAAGGTGAATTGGATCAGGGTCCCTGCTCGGCTGATTAGCCAAAAACCTCCTGGTGAGGGCTCAGCAGCGGCAGCGAAAGCAGCCTAATGAGTGACGAGTAATCAGCACTATTACTGGGCCTTGCCAGTGCACCCAGGCGTCTGCCCAGCAGACTGTAAAGTCATTTACAACCAAACCAGGCTGATTCACTGTGATAGTGACCAATCAGTCACCACCAATTAGTAAAAAAAAGCTTTGATTAATGAAGTGAATTTTTCACCCAGGTCTGTAACCATCTGGGGCTCAACCTAAACTGATGACCTCACTGCGTTTTACTGGCTGCAGTCCCTCCTGCAACATGTCCCTGGCAGTCAGCAAGCAGTGCCAATACAAAGGCCGAGTCCAGAACACAATGTGCAAGATCACAGAGAAGTAAGACACTAATCAGACACGCGAAAATCTGTGTTGCTCTCTTCATCTCTTATGGCTGTAATGGGGCGTGAAACCTGATTTGAAGCATTTGTAATAATCCAGTCCTACATCAAAAAGGTTGTGAGACTGAAAACAGCATGTTGGTTATTCAACAATGTGATTCCCAGAAATATACAAATGATTTCTGCCTTTAGTGAAGACAGATCCAAAATACACAGATACTTTAAGAAGAGGGTTTATTAAAATAATCACACTCACTTTATGAAAGTAAAATATCCCAAAAGTAAAATAAATATGACTTTCAAACTTCTGGAATCAGGTCGAGAGCAGCAGAGATCCAAAACAGTGACAGATTCAGTCTTCTTGACATTTACATATGGAGAAACTCTGCATTCATTTAGAGTTAACGGCCACTTGATGCAAATTAAATGCTCATTCTCCTTTAATCTCTCTTTTGGTCTCCATTATATCCAGGAAACAAATCTCCAGATTTAGCTGCTAGTTGTTTACGATATAGTTTCTATTTTCTTCTGCTGCAGGAAATTGGGCAACACAGTAAATATTCAAACAATGTGCTAAAAGAGTTTTGAAAACTCTTTGGAGCTAAATTGTTGGTGACCACTTCTGTGATTAGTAACTGTAAACTACCCTTTTCATGTTACAGATAGCTATCTAACTGGAAGTTTTATTGCAGGACTAAAAATCTGCATTAGCAGATTTTTGACCATATTAGCAGCATAAATTTGGAGCCACATTAAATAGTCGCCAAGTTAAATAGTCACTCTTTTTCAGCTCCTTTTTGCCATGCACCCGTTCCTGGGGAAGATCTCTGGCTTGTTAGCTCTTAAATGTTCCACCCTGTTCACCAGCTCATCGTTGACTTTGTGACTTCCCTGTGGTGCTGGGCAGGTGGCGAACAGGTTTATCTGAGCTATTTTCATCAAAAACATCTGCTGGAAATGAGGCTTAGGAAAGCAGTGTGACTGGACCAAAATGTCTAATATCAATCAGCTAAAAGAAGCTGCGGGTGCAGAGTTCTGTCGCCTGTTTTACATTATTGATGATGAGATGCACTGACTATAAAAGGACATGATACAGTCAAAAGCGTAGGACAAAGTGAACAACTAGGTGTAAAATATTTTATCAAAGTAAAAAAAAAACCTCTTAATGGGAACCTGAACAGGTTTCAGTGTCATATGTTATCAAGGGCTGATCATCTGATTTCTCAAATACTACAAACTACTTGAAATACTAGTGAGCTACTTTGCTTCCCCTTGATGTTAATCAGGACTGTAATTCCACTGATTTTAAGGTGCTGACTTATTTTTCTTTCAGTGCAGAATAAAACAACAAACTGTTGGAGGATCTGTGATATATCATGCTGCAAACATTTAGACTGAAGCTCTTTTAAGTGGTGTGTGTGTGTGTGTGTGTGTGTGTGTGTGTGTGAATTGTCTGGCATGTGAACGAGATTGAGTTTTATAAGGAGATCTGGTCATTAATTCTCCAGTTTACGTTGATGCTAAGCTCTGGACTAAATTTCAGCAGGGCATATGATTCTCTCAGACATGTTTTATCATTGCCAAATTCATTGTCCACCTCCTCCTTTTCTCTGCCTCCGCACACCCCAATACACACACCCATCCTCCTCTTCTTCCTTGCCAAATACCACTCAAAATACACCCTATTTGTGCTGGTTATCACTCTAATGCATCATCACTCCCACTTCTCACATTAGCTGGGTTAAGGCTAATCTATGTTTATACATGCATGCACCACTGTTACACTCTATCAAAAGTTTTACAGGAGCTTTGAAGAAGTTTGTCATATTTACTTGTACAAAACAAGACATCACTTTCATACAAGGTATCATTTTGTATGAGGAGGAAGTGTTGATGCTCTGCAGCTGCTGCAGATTTAATGAACCAGGCAGACCTGTACCAGGTCTGGTGTCAACCTGCACTGATGGTTTATGTTGGCCCCTGATCATTTTCACATTGCATTGCATTACGTTTCTCTCACTCAGTACAAATAAGTACTTTTTACAGTGTTACAGCCTGGAAAATATTGGTGTAATAAACATGTTGTGGTTTTCCAGGGTTTTTTCCTCTGTAGCTTCACTCCAGTCAGAAACTACAAGCTTGTAGTGCCACCTTGTGCTAGGCCTCAGTAGTACAAGTACAACATGACAACAGGAAAATGGGTTATTCTTACAATGAATGCAGATACCAAATAAATACTTTGTTCAAAAATTTATTACACTGTTGTTGGACAACCAGACTGTTTCAAACATACGAAGACTATATTTCTAAGGTTTCTGTTGCCGATGCTTTTGTGTATTGTACTTTGATTAGTTTTAGATCAGAATAGCCAGAGGGGCTTGAATCAATAGATACAGTCCAGACTGTAAGACAAAGTTAAGTTCCCGATTTAATTTGAGTAGATTTACATCAGTCTATAGAAAACTGTGAGCAACATACAACTTCCTAATTGCAATGGTTCAAAAGTAATTGCACACTTGGGTGCTAAATGTTTCTTATGATCAAAGCAACCAAAGAGCTTCTGAGGGTGAAGAGGTTGGAATATCCTCACCTGGCCAGCTTAATCAACTGATCTCGGTTGTACTGAGCTGCACCCACCAGACTAAAGGCAGAGAGACCCCACAGCAACTCCTTTGAGCACTGTATGTTAAAAGGGCTATAGCTCCCACACAGTTCTTTCTATATTGATGTAAACTGCTGAAATTAAAACTGAGATGTGGCACATTAATGTAGCATCCACTGTTTTATTTAACACTGAACAGAGAGTTTGAAGGAAAAAACTGTGTAACTGTCCAAATGACTATGGTCTGGACCCCACATATTACATACTGACTAATGTTACATATTGATATTTTTGTAACATTTCTGTTAAAGTGACATATTCAACAATAATGTGGGTGTAATGTTTAGTTGTCTACATATATTTGGCCATGTAGTGCACATCACAGTTTGCTATAAGGATTATGCTGAAACTCAGTAGTTTGGTTGTACACGTATCCACAGGAAGAAACATGGCGAACATAAGAACATTACTTGAATACAGTTATTTCATAAAACTGCTATGCAAATGCAATAGTTACATTTAGAAAACAACAGAAAACACAACATACTGTACATAATTACAGTTGTTCCTCTTAGAGTCACACAACACCAAAACATACCTTAACTTCTAAGTTTGATTTCCTGCCTTCCAGGTGGTGACTGGTTTTAATCAGTTTAATCTCAGTGTGCTATAAAAAAAATGTACTTGCAGAGACTTGCACTGGACATGAGCTGCAGCTCAGCACAGAAAATGAGCACAAACGTGCGTTATCCTTTACGCAATACTTTTGCCACCCGATGTCTGAGCATCCCCGAGAGATCTTATAAGTCTTAGAAGATCTCTCAGATGATCTGTCAAAAATACTGCCTTTTCTGTACTGATGAAAGGCAACAAATTGTTCATAGTACTGGACAACATGTAGTACCTGGAGCAAGGTTTAAAGCTATAAAACTGTACATTGTAGCCGTATTACTGTATATTACTGCATATCCCATAAACCCATAGCTAGAAAAACTTTTCAACCAAATTCAGCCCAAGTAAAATATAAAAGTGTAAGTATATTTTAACCTGCAATCCATATTAATCCCTTCTGGGTTTTCTCAGTGTAAACAGGTCTTACAGTGCAGTGTCTTCTCTCAGTGGTATTTTACAGTCTCAGTCTGGGGCCTTGACTCTTCTGCTATGTCATCATAGTCATCCCCAGATAAAGAGTAGCAGTCGGGGCTCACTGGGGAGTATATGCCATCATCGTCATCTCCTAATGATCAGACAACAACAAAGCAACAAACCTGTCGTAAATCTCACTTCTCCATATTTGTTGTTGTAAAATCTGCTAGGTGACATTTACTTGAAGTCTCCTGGTTTGGCTGTTGTCCACTGTGAAGCTGATTATTGTTGTTGACGAGCCATGAAGGATCAAAAGTATTGTTGTCAACAGGTAACTGATCTGGTTCTGTATCTGCAATTTATGAGAGTATGAGTGCTACATTTAGTTTTTATCTTGTTATCTCAGTCTTTTTGAGATGGTTTCACACTGACTTGTGTCTTTCATATCCTCCTACATGAATAAATGAAACACTTGCAAACTTTCAGTTACGGGTCTTCCTCCAAACACCCACAGATTAGGTTTAGAGACCAGGCACGATGAATCTTATATTTCACATTTAGAAAGCTAGTTGCAGCATTGTTAACAATTTCTTTGGAAATGATGACTGCAACACCCTCCCCCAGTATCTCAAAATGATATGACAGTACTACTTTCTGCAACTATTGTTACAAAAGCAATTTTCTATACTGTTTTACCAACATAATATTACAGCTATAAGATAAAAGTGGTAAGAATTTTTAATGGTATGGCTTAATTTAAATATTAAAGAAAAGCTTTTGGGACATACACTGATCCCCTTTCTTGCAGAGATTTAGATGAGAAAACTGATGAAACTCTCATGTCTGCTTGGTAAATATGAGACTACACTTAGCAGCTAGTTGTCTTAGCTTAGCATATAGATTAGCATATAGCAACACATATTTAAACAGAGGGAATTATCTCTGTCCAAGGTTAACTAAATACCTCATTTGTTCTTCATGTTTAGTCATATAAATCTTTTCATCTACCTCTCAACAACAGAGTGAATAAGCGTATTTCCCAATATGTTGAACTTTTCCTTTAATAGTACAACAGAAAGTCCTGTACTGTTCGCAGCTGCACACATTCAGTAAAAAGCTGTTTAGTATAAAATGTGTGTGCAGTCCTTTAAGTCGAACATTCAGTTTCAAAGTTTCAACCTAAAGTTGACCTATATAGTAACATTACATCTGGAAGTAGTGAAAGAATTCAACTGACCAGGAGTGACATTGATATAGGCATCATTTATGTTTTCATAGCATTCCCCCGAGGAGGTGCTGGAGGTCTCAAATGAGTTCGCTGAAATCTTTGACACTCTGGCATATTGAGGGTCTGTGGGCCCACCGTTGTGGCTTTGAAAAGCTTCCATTCCTTCATTTGTTGGTTCCGGGCCTGAAAGTGACAATGGAAATATAAAATTAAAGGCATAGCATCATTTAAAAAAGAAGAGTAAAATAGATTAAGCTAAAATAAAAAGGATAGTGGCTCAAAAACTGTGTGTCTAACTAAAATCTTCAAATAAAGAAACATGTTTGTACTTTGTATTTGTCTCTGTGACATCTGAGCAAGCTAACAGTGACTCACCTTCCTCACAGAGGCTGTCAAGACCTGAAGGCCTCGTCAAAGGGTTCATGTCTGTTCTGTACCTTTGAGAATCTGGATGCAAAATGATGCGCATGGTGCAATATTTTAATCAAACCATCTTGCAAACATTCAGTGCAAACAGCATCACAACAGGCTGCACACACATGCACACAAGGCAGAGCAGCCTCAACCGCAAAATGCAGAAAGAGAGCAAGAGAACATCTTAAGTGAAAACGATTAAGAAACACACAGGAATAAATACAAATGAAGAGGAAATAAAAGAAGGCAGCTCACTCCGAAAGGTTGATAAAGGGACAGACGGGTCATTGCTTGGCTCATACTGCTCATAGTCTGTATCTACTGACGTGCTGTCAGCACTACTAAGCTGGGTCCAAAGATGCCTGGGATTGGAGGGGACTTTTTGAGACAAACACAAACAGATAAAATGATGATGATGGTGAGATAGAAGCTCTATAGATGCTGAATAATCCTGCAACTCTCACCATTGTGCATTTGTACAGTAAATATACTCTATATGCAGAGTATAAAGAAAGAAAAGGCAGAAAAAAAATTAGTATTCAAGATGTTAACTCTGAACACACATTCAGTTTTTATTTATCACATTGCTGTAAAAGTCCAACCACTGACCGTCTGTCTGCAGCGTGTTGGCAGTGACTCTGATGAGGTCGACAGCGCCTTCATACTTGTTGTGATGATGTTCAGAGAGAGGCTGTCGTTGGTAGTTGGCGCGTGTCTGCTGCAGTAAAAAAGCTGTGGACACATAAAGCAGGATATAAATATTGAGCTGTGCGAAATCAGAATCAATATGGTTTCTATTCTCTTTATGTGGTACAGGACAACTGTTGGTTTTTGATACGTTGCCTGTACAGAAGGATTTGAAACTGTCAAAGCCGATTACTGATGGTGAATTGATGCCCATTCTGTGTTGGTCAGTGTGTTTGTTTTGAGGTTCTCACTGTATTTTAGGTAGTTTTGGAAAATCATACCTGTTTATGCATCAAAAATTTAAGTGAAATTCACGTCTTCCTCCATTGCACAAATAAAATCCAAAAAAAGCCAAAAGTGGCTCACTATCGTTACATTAAACAGATAGGACCTAACTAGATTTTACACTTAAAACAGTCAGGACACATGAAATGAAAATAAAAAAAGGAACCTCAACATGCTTGGACACTAATGAGTTGATAAAGTGAAATATAAAGGGTGAAATAAATGCACATAAAAAGCATACATTATAATATGAACTGAAAAAAATAATATGTTTCCTTCGTTAGAGCTGTTAAACTCTTGTTGAGGACACAGTGAAGCTGCAGACAGATTGAAGCGAGAGGAACCAACCGTGTCTCTTCCTGTAATGGCAGCAGAGCACCGTGTTTGTGATGAGAAACACGAGGAGCAGAAGAGACAGAGCGATGACGATGAGAAGCACTGGGAACGTTGTGGATGAACTTCCAGCAGTGATGTTTGTGGTGGTACCTGCTGGGATGGACAAAATAAATCATTTTCACTTTCTTATGGCTTTTACAACTGTTTCTTACGTTGTTCTTCAATAAGCCAAAGAATACTGTAACTAGCATTCATAACTAATTAAACTTGAGTTTTCCTAAGACACATATGATTCATATTATATAATATAAGCATTTACCAGTGGTCCAACTGGTCACTACAGGTGCACTGGCTGTGGTGGGTGTAGGAAACCCAAGGGAACCTGCAGGACAAAGATGTGCTTTTTTTGTTTAATGTGAGCTGAAAATATTATAGAATCCCAGTTTCACAGGTTGAAGAAAAAGTTGATCAGTATTAGCTTAATACGTTTACTAGAACAAAGTTTTATGTGATTCTGTAAATACTGAACAATAAGCCAGAAAACACATGGAGACTGTAGATGTGACTTAATGCTCAGAGGAGTCGGTGTAAACATAAGGGAAACAGATGTTTAAAAGCCTTTCATCACAACAAAACTGAACATAATCATTCAGGATACAAATACAAATCTTTTAACATCATAGCTTTGGCTTGAGTTGTTATTAGTTTATGAAACGTGAACATTATCACCTTAAAACTGTAAACATTTGTATATTAGTTTTCAGTGGATTAAAACCTTATTCTGGTCCAGTCTAACAAATAGCTGAAAGCTTTTACATTTACAGAAGAATTTATCTTTTTATCAGTCATCTGTGATAATAAATAAATAAACAGAAAAACATGTGAAAGTCATCTGTAAATTACCAGCTAAGAGACAGTATGCCTAAAAAAATGATAAAGACCTCAAAAATGCTGGAAACAGTTATAAAATGAATAAAATGCCAACTACTTTTGCATTTTTTGTAGATTTTTTGTAAGAATGAAAGCAAAACATTATAAGTTGAACATTTCAGTCTAACCTCACACATGCTTTTAACCATATATTATGAAGTCTTTGTCATCAGGTTTTGTTACCTTACACAAAGTCAGTTCAACCTTGACCCACTGTTGTTTGACACAAAAGCAATAAACACCAAATCTGTGTCACTCACCGTTACAGATGACACCAGATGCTTTAGAGTCCTTGCACAGGTGACTTTTGTTTACGCGCTCCCCGCACTGCCACAGTGTCGGCTCCTTTGGGCCACAGTGATAGTAGTACAACGTCCCATTGTTGTGTATGAGAGGAGGAACAAACTGGCTGTACTGCTGCGGCTTGCCACCACACTGCAGCATGGAGCACACCATGGAGGCTATGCCTTCATTCCAGCAGTTATCACACACTGTGCCCCAGCTGCCATTACGGTGGACCTCCAGTTTCCCAGAGCAGCGGTCCAGACCTCCAGTCAGTCTGATTGCTCTCATCTCTGCACCGAGACAACAGAAAATACTGACTGTGAAAAATAAAGTCAATCCTTTATATGATAGATACATCTCTACTAAATAATTCCCTTGTGAGCCACAAAGATGATTTATATCACCACTGAGGACACTAAAGTCATGTCCTTAGGTTTTTCAACGTGACTGTGACCTGAGCACACGACCCCAGCATCCTCTTTGTGTCCGCAGTCAGGCTCATCCTGTACACCTGGACATGCCCACAGGTTCTCCTCCATGCCCGTGCAGTTCAGCTCATCCAGGTGGACGGGTCCTCTGCCCGGGGGGAAGGAGCCGCCCTGTCCAGTCACACTGAGGGCATAACCACAGCCAAGTTGGGCGCACACCACATTAGCGTCGCTCAAATCCCACTGGTCGTCACACACTGTGCCCCAGCTCCTATTTCTCCACAGCTCCACCCTTCCAGCACAACGGTCTGGCCCTCCCGCTAGCCGCACAGCCTGGTCGCCTGGGGACAACATTATTACATTGTCATCATGTGGCACTGTGTATGAGGTGCACACGGACCCTGTTTATGGAAGCTCATAGCTTTCATCTACCTTTTGAAATTAAAAGGGCATTATTAATCAAAGCAGGGAGTTTCAAAAGTAGATTAATTATTGTTTATCTGCTTTTGAATATTATATCTGAGCAGGTGGATAACTAGAAGGTCTGACCTCTAGTTTGTGGTGGATAATTTGGGCTGTTTAATATTATATTCAAAACTGTGTTATTATGTCTAGTGATAGTTTTATCCTGATTTATCTGCACTTTTTCTCCTTCTTGCAAGGGGAGCTGCTGCCTGTCTTAGACATTGTCACTGTCATGTTTTATATGACTGTTTCTTATTGTGTTTTGTTTGTTAGAACAACTGTGTATAGCTACAAGACAAACCTTACCACAAACGGCTGCAGTAATCACAGTGCAGTTACTTCCCACACTCTGTGAGCAGTTCTGCAAACGACCATCTTGGTAAAAGCAGTTGTAAAAGCAGGTGGTGTTGGGAGGTGAGCCAGTTTTATTCACATGAAAGACGCTGCCACAGCCAAGAACCTTACAGATCTGTTCCACTAATGTATCTGTAGAGTCTGGTGTGAGCGCCACCACATCGCTGCTCCTGTTTCCAGGCATCCTGAGCATCCAGCTGCATTTAGCACTGAGATGGTGAACGAAAGGGTCACCTAAGGTCGCACACAAACAGAGCATAGCGTATTATGTGATTGTTATTTCAGTAATTCTGGTTTTAAAATTCTGGTCTGACAGAAGCACTTTAAATATGAGTGAATGTTATAATAAAAATCACCTATATTTGGCCCAGTATGTAACACACAAGGAATTTGTTTGTAGTACAGAACCAAAGCAGCCATCTGCGGCACCAACTCAACCAATGGCCCTAACCATCAAGGGCAACTTGGGGGTTCAGTGTCTTGCCCAAGGACACTTTGACACATGGACTGCAGGCACTGAGAGTCGAACCTCTGGCCCTTTGGTTAGGAGATAACTGCTCTATCCACTGAACCTCAGTCACCCCCTTATGATTGTTTACTGTTTTTTAAATGTGAGGTTATACAGCAGATGATGATGAGACTATATTATTAGTGGAATTTCTTCATCTCCTATGCTAAAAGTTGTCACTTTGTCTTTATGACAACATCAAGGAAAATGTCTTGTATATTTTCAGCTATTGGTACTGTATGGTAAATGGCATTGACATTGGGGTGGCTGTGGCTCATGAGGGAGGGCAGTTGTCTTCTGACCAGCAAGCTGGTGGTTCGACTCCCGGTCTCCCCGCATGCCTAAGTGTCCCTGAGCAAGACACTGAACCCCAAATTGCTCCCGGTGGCTTGACTAGTGCCGGTGCATGGCAGCCTGTCGTCATTGGTGGGTGAATGGTGTATGATCTTCTGTAAAGCGCTTTGGCCAGTGCAACACACTGTGAGAAAGCGCTATATAAAATACAGTCCATTTACCATTTTAAAGAATGACAGTGGTTTTCCTGTTGTTGACAAATCCCATGAAAAGACCAAAACCAACAATGTGGTGCTTCCATTCTCTCTCTCTCCTGCGCTATCCTGCCTCCCAGATCATTGGTTCACGCCTGAGACTGAGGGATCATCTCTCATTGGATGATTTGAATCAAGAAATACCAAATCACAGGCCAGAGCCATTTACAAAAGGAGCAGTCCTGGAGCATAAAGGTTTTCTCTTTCTGTTTTCTGCCTGTTGTGGTTAGGTGTTAGGATTAGGGTTCATGGTGGCAGGTTGGACATAAGTAGAGGTACCCCACCCCCCTCCTCAAGTTACCTTGAGGACAAACATTCAGCACACCACATAAAACACATCTAACCACATGTAGTGATCATGTTGATCAGATGTCAAATTTTTGAGTTTAAGCAGATGGATCGGAGCAGGGTAGGAAAGATCACATCTTCATGTGTAAATCTCCACATGGCGCATTTACATTTACAGAAGATATCACATTTACCTCTGATTACTTTCACTTTGTATTTGTCTGTGTCTGTATATACTTATTTCTTGAACCCACTACTACTACTGTTTCTCATCTTTCAACTTCTGTAACATCTGTGTATATAACACTTGAAAAATTATTTTTAATTTTGTTTTTCAGAAAAAAGGCTTTTCCAAATGAAAAAAAATTATCTTTGAACCAAAGAAGATAAACAAGAGCCACTATAACTGGAACAAAAGCCACTTTCACATTACCTAAAGGGAATTTATTTTAATTCAAACACATTGCCAGCTTTACAATACTTGTGCCTGAGTTTTGAATGAAAACAAACCCTACACTTCAGCTAATAGTGTGTTTTTTTATACATGAAAAGTTTTTGGTGTTAATAACTAACTTAAACAGAGGCTTGAAATAGTATGACGGGAGACAAAAAATCTTCTACTTTACCATTTCCTTTTTTCAGACAAAGTAATTTAACAAATTGTAGTTTATTTCCATATGCAAATCAATAACAATTTAAAAAAATATAGTGGATCGAAATGTTTCTAGGACAAAACTATTTTACTGGGGTTGAAATTGTGTGAAGCCACATAGAAACATACTGCACAAGTGGCTTGCAGAGTAAACTCGAGTCGATGTGCACCTGCAAAATGCACTGAAATGTGTCTCATATGCAGGCCACCCCACATCCTGTGCCACCAAGTGCAAGAGTATTCACACAATCTCTGCACATACAGTTTATCCTGGACAAAAAAGAGTGTACAAAATTCTGGAAATAGTTAGAATATCTTCTTGAAGAATACATTTGCACTTCAGAACATTTCTAACTTACCGTTGAATTCCTCTTGTGTTATTTCCTTTGTATTATTTTCCTCTGCTTTCACTAGGGCATCAGCTGAGTCTGTTTGAGTGGGAAAAAAAACCTCATTACTTTTACTGTTAGTGAGATCATGGAGACAATACAGGTTCCTCACCAACAGCCCCCCTCAAAAAACATGTCGACCAAAAACATGCCGAGTGGAACATGAAGATACATCATACCATTAATTAATTATTTGCCATGTGTTCCCACATTTTACAGTTCCACTGTTTTCCATTAAAGAAGTTTTGGGGGGTGTTTTCCCATGCAGCGTGTAACACTCCTCGAGGCAAATTTGTGAAACTGAGCTATATAAACAAAATATAAATTTGACTGGGAAAAATTTTACTTTAATTTTCTTAATGACAATTAATTAAAATGATTGATTTGAAAAGTTTATTTGTCACACAGATGAAACGCAGTGTATTATGGTCTTAAGGCTGTAAAGGAAAAATTCAGGCTTAAAAACTATAATTGTATGTAAAGAAAAAAAGGCAAATGTATATTCATTTTTCCTCCATTCATTCTGAACTCGGCCCTGCCTGTTTCTTTTTATTTTCAATCCTTAAATTACTTTAAAATTCCACGTAAACAAGCTGCTTAGCTTTTTACATGACTTTTGCTAAGGTTGATATTTAGACTCTTCAGGTAACAGTATGTTGTGTTGTCCACATTAAATTTATGGTGTGTAAAACAAATAAAACAAAACAAAACAAAAAATAGACTCTACCATTTCCATTTACTAACAGCAATAATTTAACATCTTTTTTCAGTTGTTAATTTCCATTTTAAATGTAATAATGTGGTCTATGTGTTGCTGTCCTCTCAGCTACAGTTTAAGTCAAACTTCATCAGTTTCACTGACAGACACTAATATTATTAACAGATTTTGAAAAGTGAAAAGTGCAGCCTGTATAAGTAAAGCCAACGTGCATAGCTGTTTGTGAATAGCTCATAAATTCAGTTTGTAAATGTATAAAACTGGAAATGTTACCTTGACAAAGACAGCTGAGTTGAACAATGAAAATATATTTCACCAGCTTCATGTTGTTGGCAGAAACAGCTTCTATTGTCTTTGCTCAGAGTTGAAACTCAGACTGTAGTGTAATATCTGCTGAGCCTGGTGGCACAAAGTGTGACTTCCTTCTTTTCTTTTCTTGCTATTCAATTGACAGTACTTCCCATTTACTGCATTACATTGCCTGGCAGGAAATGGTTTGTCACTGATAACAGATTATTTATTTTATTTGTTTATTTAACTTTCATTTTACCATTGAAATCCCATTGAGGTTTACAGCCTCTTTTTCAAGGGAGCCCTCATGATGCTGGAAACTTCTATGTATTTGTTTTGCATAATCTATTAAACTGTATAATTCACTCAACATATAATTTTATTTCATCAGATGTTTGTTACCTGATTTTGCATTTTAAATTTAGATAATCACCTTTATTGGCCAAGTATGTTACACACAAGGAATTTGTTTCGGGTACAGAACCGATGGCAGCCATCTGCAGTGCCAACTCAACCGATGGCTCTAACCATCAGAGGCGTTCAGTGTCTTGCCCAAGGACATACAGTATGTGGCAGGCACCAAGATTCAAACCTTCAACCTTCTGACCGATGATTGCTCTATCCACTGCACCACTGTTGCCTCCTGATATATAATGATGTCATTTTGGTACCTCTAGATTCCAGTTACTAATGTAAACTGTTAAATTAATAATGTGGAGACTGAATGAAAATTTCAGTCATATGATAACATGTTATCATATGATAACATGGGGGTGGCTGTGGCTCGGGGTGGCTGTGGCTTACGAGGTAGGGCAGTCGTCTTCTGACCAGCAAGTTGGTGGTTCAAGTCCCAGTCTCCCCGCATGCCTAAGTGTCCCTGAGCAAGACACTGAACCCCAAATTGCTCCCGGTGGTTTGTCTGGTACCTCTCGTCACTGGTTTGTGAATGTGTATGATCTCCTATAAAGCGGCCAGTGTAACACACTCTGAAATATGCGCTATATAAATACAGTCCATTTACCATAACATAATTTATGCTCCGAAGCATTATAATGTTATTAAATTACTGCTTGTAATTATCTTAAAATTACAGAATTACTCTTATTGGTTTTACAGGTATGATTTATGTAAACTATGACTCCATTGTTTTTATGTAAATAATTTGTATTATTAACATAATAGATAATGCTATGCTAACAGTGTTGTAATTTAACATACAGTAGGACAGTAAGCCAGTCGGGTGACCTAATTCTGATTTTAACCGTTTGAGGGCGACATTGCCTCATGTTTTATGGTTTTGCAACCTTTAACCAAAATGGGTGGAACTGTTCTTTGCTGCATATGTTGTATTATTAGCGCTTTTCAATTAAAACATCAACAAAATATGGCATGTGCCAAACATTTAGGCTACATAGCCTACATCTACATTCATGCTGCGACATCCCCACTAGCAGCTCTGACGACTCCCTGCTTTGTTTACATCCTGTTCCAGCAGCACGCGCTCAACTCAACTCTCTCTCCTATTGGCTGTCCTGCTTTGTCACCACACCCACCACCAGCTGACCAGAAAACAAGCGATCAAAAAGAGGATAATGTACCATTTATATACATTTTGTAAAACAACATATTTAAATTAAACATGATTTAAGGGTACTGCATTCACAAAACTTCGTTTTTTCTTTTTAGTTCCAATTTTATTAAGACTCCAAAATTATTTAAAACTATGAGCAAAAGAAACACAGTTGTAAAAAGGATTGTGGGAAAACAGTTAGGCTACAATCCATCTGTAAATGGACTGGTTTTTAATTTAAAACTCAGTTTTAATGTTTTTGCGCGATGTTCCGCAAATGTTGCCAAATAGGTCTGTTTTCCATTTGGCTACTGTATATATGGTCCGTAGATATTGGTCAGTCAAATCTGGCAACATTTCTTCGTTGGTTTGTGCCTCGCAAATAAAGTCAAAGAAGAAGAAGCAACATTAATTGGCGCCAGCGGCAATTTGGAACATTTCTTTGGCCTGGGAACGGTAAGTTGTAAACAATTGTGGTTTTATACAGTTAGAAAGTTTGTTTAATAATGTTAAATTATCTTAAGCCTATTTGGACAGTTTCATTTTCAGCAGCGTAATCTTGGGGTTATCATTGAAGTAGCTAGTTGCTCGTTTTTTGTTGGCAAGTTAGAAGAGAGCTTAACTAGTATTCCAAATGGTTGTGCTACCTAAGCTAGCGTCAAGGTTAGTTGACAGTAGTCAGTTATTTACAAGCTGCAGCAGGGGAAACGGGAGAGCAACGTTTGCGTCCTCTGAGCAATAATTAATAAATTTACAGTTTCGACTGCTGCAGAATGACCCTTGTCATCTGCAGTTCTTTCCTGGTTTGGTGATAACACAGAAAACAAACCATAACGGGTGAGCTATTTATTGAACTAATGAGCGTGTATCCTACGGTTGGTGCCAAATTCAAAGCACTTTGTCAGTGGTACTTACAAGATGTCCCCCTGTGCACACAAAAGTGTTGTTGCTACATGAAGTGTGTGCTTGTGGAGGCATTCTCTGTGTCTGTGTGCTGTTAATGTTCATGTTTGTCTCATGCAACTCCAACATCAAGCCAGAGACAGAGAGATAAAGCGTCTCAAAATGAAGTTTTAGTAGCACTGTTTAACTTTAGTGACTATGTAGATTGTTTATTTATGATATAGGCTCATACAATGTGGTTTGTACTAGGCCCATATTCCTGAGACTGTGCAGGTGTTCATGGCTTACATATGGTATGTGCAATCCAATACTCTTACAACTGGTGATAATTGTCTGTCATTTTTATCTTTGGACTCACTTCATGCATTTGTTGTGGAACACTAACTTGGTTTCTAAATTGTTTCTCTGTTATAGGCAGAAGCAGCCACAGCTATGACTAGACAAAGGTAATAAACTTTTTTTTTTTTTACTTGTAACTTGATTAGTTGTCAAATCTCCAGCAGCTTGTTGAATCCAGTTCAATGTCTTTGCAGAAAAGATCTGCAGAAAAGATCTGAAAATGCTCCAGGACAGAAAAGCAAAGTTACTAAGGTGAGAGCCCATGAGAACATATTCAAGAATATGTCATCTAGCATGAATTGGTAATTAAAACCATCAAGCAAGTGTTTTCTAGATGGTTTCACTTACAACTCATACCTTTTCTTTGCAGCAGAGCAGCAGAAAAAAGGTTCAGGCCCTGACAAGGCTGCAGTGTGAGAAGGTATGTCCCTTTCTTTAGTTTAATTATATATACATATATTGGTTTTGCTCAGTTAAAGGTCAGCTATTGTTAAAAAAGAGACTGCGTTTAAAAGATCACATGGCTGAGAAAAGAACACAGACATTTTGTGAATAGCTCACTGTAGTCACTGAGGAAAGCACAGAAGAATGTAGTTATGCCGAAACTTTTTCTTTTATATTAAACACTAAAGAATAAAAGTGTGGGGCCCTCTTTTTTTGAAGTCAGTTAAAGTGAACATAATATATGGGTATCAAACTAATACTTTTATGGCATCGATTTTACTGTGATTACTCAATACCATCGAGTATCAGAAAATGCTTTTCTACATTTTTATTTATTGATGTTAATAGAATTTAAGCTTGTGGTAAATAGGTTTACTTTTTATTTTATGAAACTGTGTTGAATGCACAAAAATACAGAGGAATTGAAAAATAAAACTAATGATCTGTACCAAAATGTGTAATCTATGTTTTTTTTTTTAACATGGATTGAAAAAATATCATTTAGGAACTGGTATCGAAAATGTTGGAATGCTACCCATCCCTATACATGAATAAAATCACAACAAAAATCACATCTGTGCCTGGTGTCCACAAATATTTGTTTGTAACATAGAAGTAACTGATTTTTCTTTTTACATTTCAGAATCAGCTGGTACTTGAAGGTGTCACTGAGCCTCGTATTCCTGCCAAGACCTCAAAGAAGGAAGTTAACATAGACATTGACGAGCACGACAATCCTACTCTCACTTTGAGAGGTTCTTTGGTTCATCCATCCCCTCTGCCTCATATTGGGTAATTATCACATTGTTTGGCCACAGTTTGTCCTCTGCTAGATGGTTTACCAGTGTTTTCTTCATGTTTACAGATGGGTCTTTTCTGAAGATGTGTGGGTGAAGATGCTCAACAAGGAGCACAATTACAGACACAGCAAGAACTTTATGCACTTGCATCCCAGGATACAACCCAGAATGAGATCGATCCTCCTTGACTGGTTAATGGAGGCAAGTTTTCATCTACATCTTAAGTTTTTCACTCCAACTGGTGCCTGTATAATCAAAAATCTGTTTTTTATGTCAAGTTTGATGTATGTTAAAAATTTCTGGGTATTATGGAGAAATTCGTGACTTTATTTGATTAAAGTATTAGCAATGTGGAGTCCTCTTATGGTTGCAATGTTGTAAATGCACAAATTCCACACCTTTCTGACTGATTTATTCAGTAGTAGTTGTTTTATATTTAAGTGTTAGTCATTTGTTTAACTTTTAGTTATCTGCTAAGCATCCTAGGCATTGTGTTTATCAAGCTTAAGATGAATTTGAGTATACTTTTACATGGGCAGTATCATGTAAAAGTTTTTCCACCAAAAAGAGTCTACAGCAGTGTTTCCACCGGTTTTACTAGGTGAGTGAGGCGTACACCCTTCACCGTCAGACCTTCTACCTGGCACAGGACTACTTCGACCGGTTCATGTTGACCCAGAACAACACCGAAAAGAATGTGCTGCAGCTCATTGGGATCACCTGTCTTTTTGTAGCATCAAAGATGGAAGTAAGGGGAAAAACAGGGAGAGATCAGGGATTCTTGGGTCAGTTAGTGCATTACCATAGAAGCTTCTTTTGTTTGCAGGAAGCCTGTCCTCCAAAGGTCTCAGAGATGGCCTATGTGACTGCAGGGACCTACTATGAGCATGAGATCCTTCAAATGGAGTTAATCATTTTGAAGGTATAGATAAAATAACAAGTACAGTGGTGTTTGATTCTTGTTAATGATCAATGAGGGCTTTCATTTTACATAATTCTATTTTATGAATGTTTTACAGGCATTGAGTTGGAACCTTTGTCCTGAAACAGCCATTTCTTGGCTGAAGCTTTACTTCCAGATTTCATCGAGTGCCAACTCTGACCTGCTGGAGCCACAGTTTCCACAGGACATGTTTGTCCAAATGACTCGTGTAAGTGTCAGCTGAGATCCACCTGTTAAAGCAAACGTGCTGACACAAAGCTCAGCAGCAGAACTGACTGTTTCTGTGACAGCTGCAACAATTCAGAGCATTCAAAACTTCATAAAAGGTTTTCTGACAGTGCTGTTGTGTCAAATTTCATTCTGCTGCAAGACCCTCTTCTCTCTTCCTTTATTTTCAGACCAGTTTAGACAAACTTAATGTTACTTTATACTACATGTAGCTGGGGCCAGATGTTCCCCAGCTCTGGTACCTACTGAAAAACAGATTTGTAATCATGCACAACTATGAAGCAGCTGTTTCCATGTCTGTTTCAAGTCTCACTCACTACTTTCATCAGATGCTGTTTCTCTTCTTTTTGCCAGCTTTTAGATCTCTGTATCCTCAACATAAACTCGCTGGACTTCCAGTATCGAGTGTTGGCTGCTTCAGTCTTGTGCTATTTCCTTCAACAGGAAACCGTTGAAAAAGTTTCAGGTCAGATTTGGGATTGGTTAAATTTACAGAAATGTAGATGGAATGGAAAAATACTGAATTTTGAGCCTGATGAAAATCACTTGTTACTGTTTTTAAGTCAATCAAAAACCTCAGTACTTGATTCTTGAACTTGTCTGTTTCACATCAGAGTAATATATTTTACTATTTGTTTATTTGTGTGTGTTCCACCTGTTGATGACACAAAAGCAGCTGTAAAACCATAGACTACGTCATCATATTGGCTGAGCTGTGATCACAACCAGGATCTAAACCACAGTAGCGTTACTCAGTACATGTTGTGTTTGTTCAGGTCTGTCGAAAGACATTATCCAGCCGTGTGTCACCTGGATGGCTCCCTTTGCTGAATCGGTGGACATGTTTGGCCTGGTGACAATGAGAAGTTTTGTTCAAATAAATAAAGACGACAGATACAACATCCAGACACACACAGACTACATGACCATGCTGGTGAGTGTTTTTCTACTCTGATGTTTATAGAAAGAGTGGAGGTAATGTGGACAACAGCCTGTCCCATGATTCTTGGTATTTGGCCAATTATGGGAAATTAAGTCAAATATATTTCATGTATAGATATATAAACAGGAATGAAATAGGAAATAAGCTGAAATGAAAAAGTGGCAGACGAGGTAGGTCAGAAAAATGACAATTACTGATGGGTGCAAATAAAACTAAAGCCAGATTTATTCTTGTTTGCATCTGCTGACAGAAGATAAAGGGTGAAGCACTCAAGTGTTTCAGTGCAAATAATTTTTATACCTCATCTGACACAAAACAGGTGTTTAGTTCAGTTTTTATACTAGTCACAGGACCTCTATTAGAACATTTAAGTAAAACACTTTTTTTTTGTAAACAACCTATGTTGTGGGACGAAGATTTAAAAAAAAAAAAAAAATCCCCCTTGAAGTCCCAAATTTCACTTCCAGCAGGCTGATAAGGACTATACTGGTGTGAAAACTTCTTGCGTAGTCCATGTTATATTGTGCTTTTACAGCAATAATGAAGATGTAAATGGGCTAGAATAAAATCACATGATGTGACTATTGAGATACTTTGCTTTCATTTTCTAACTGCAATTTTAATGGAATTTGTACATATCTGACTGAATCTCTTTCAGCAGATATATTCACAAGGTTTACATTTGGGAATTAATTTTTTTATTCAAAGAGCAGCTTATTAAAGAATTTAACCTGTCCCCACAGATAATGCAGATGTTTACTGATGCCGCTTAATTCCTAGCGTCCCATCTTTCTTTCAGGAGCATGTTGAACAAAAGCTGAACAGCCAGTTCCCCACTTCTCCCAACAGCACAGAGAAAACCTGCTCACATTGAACAAGACTCGCAGCGAGTGAGAACAGAGGACGCTGGGATAATGTCCCACAAAAAAAAAAAGGCTCCTATCATAGTCAGCGGAGGAAATTAAGGGTTAATTTCACACCTGCTAATGTGAAATCTGTCACAATGCATTATTCAGGATAATGTACCTGAATTTTAAAGCTGTTTTTAGCAACTGGGTGCTTTGATTCAGACATGAAGTGTTTTTAACCAAGAGTCAGGCTTTTATCTAAGTTATGTCTAGAAAATGAAATTTTAACTGTGTGCAATTCTTTTTTTTAGGGCATATTAAAATATGTTCATAGGCAAAATAAAATCTAATTTTAAACATTTCTTCAGGGTCATTTCAAATGTTAACAGGGTGCTGTTAACACTAGCTGTGCACCACCGTGTGTGTGTGTGTGTGTGTGTGTGTGTGTGTGTGTGTGTGTGTGTGTGTGTGTGTGTGTGTGTGTGAGAGAGAGAATGTAACCAAGAACATGTATGTGCCAGAAAGCATTGACTGAATAAGGTGCATACTGTTCAGTTCAGTTGTGTCTTGATTATCTTTACCAGGCTTTTGAAACCACTGTTTGAATAACTCAGGGCACAGGATAGTCAGGGGTTGTTTAAGTAAAAATTTCAGATGATTGCACATGGTCTATTCATTTGGAAGTTTATTTTCTACCACAAAATAAAAATGTATATTCCCTCCCTCCCAGAGTCCAACACTGGTTCATGTCTACTAGAAGTAGAGTTTAGCCATCGCTTGCAGGAACCTCTTTTTCCTCTTCTGTGCAGCCAGCTGCAGCACTTCCTCGGGGTTACTGGTGTTCAGCTCTGCCTGGCCAATCGCTTTTATCTGAGGAGACAGAGGGTTAGGAAACCTCTGGTACATCCAAAGTTTCTGAACTGCATCATTTCCCTTACTTGCATCATTCCTTCCATCTTAGTCCATCATGCTAAAGATGCAAGGACAAGCTGTGGAAATGAGACGTCCTTTGATCTAAACTAACCTGTTACTGGAACTTGCAGGATTACTTCAGGAGTGTTTTGTTTTTGAAGTTGCTGTTTCCCCTAAAATGGAGGTATCTACACAACTCTATAGTTGGTGCTAATTTTGTTGTCACTGCCTCTGTTGTAGAGATTTGTGTAAATGAAAAGTCACAGGGGCGACTGTTGTCCAGAGCTCTTAACATGATTTCAGTCAAATCATTTCTTACCCCCCTCTGAGTCAGAAGGAAAGTAAATGCAAGATTTGGGCTGCTGTCTGGGATAACCACTAGTGTCCGGGTGATCATCCTATGAAGTTAGCTGTAGTGGTTACCCTTCCTGCTGGTTTGAGATGAGCATGAGAAATTGACTGAAATCATTCCAAGGCTAACCTTTTGCCCCAGTGATGCTGTTTAATGCAACTTTTAATTTCTGACTCGCTACAATGAAAGCATAAATGGCAAAATGAGCACTACTGTATAGTCAGCATATCCACTTTTGAGGGAAACGGCACACTGAATTTGCCAAACTACCATTGACACAGGGTTCATGTACAGTTAGCTGTTTATCCAAATTTAGCCCACTTCTAAGCTGCTATTCCACTGCTTAGTGAACACTATTCCCAAAATTTGACCATTTAGCCTTTGAGAGAAACCAAAGTAGTAAATGTTTGTGTACAAGCTGAGAACATATGTAAGCCACTTAAAAAAAAAAAATCAATTTTCAGTGCTTTTCTTGCTGCACAAGACGCTGATAGAAACAGAGTGAAAAGCTGTTAATGATGAACTTTACATTTGGAAAAAAGTGTCAGTTTTTTGGTGCAGAAACAGGTCAAACTTACTGCTATTTGTTTCTTCTCAGTCTCGCCTCGTTTGTGGTGAATATCTGAACATGCAGTCAAAGGCGGAATCCCACTAAATTGGAGCTAATGCATTTATCCTAAAGAGTTCATGTAAGACTTAAAAACCAGGTGAAGGCTTCAAAAAGACTGTTAAAACAGCTTCTTAGTCTAGAGAGGACTGACTTTTATTTTTGATGAGACGATACAAAATAAAAAGGATACATGTGAGGTATTCCAGGATGGTGACGTCCCAGATATAGTCATAGAATGAGTCCATGGCATCATGACTGTGGTGATACCAGAAAATATTGCAGATGTTAGGAATAGCTCTGCTGGTTGCTAGGGGTTGCAGTGTGCCATGCTGTGCCATACCTGTTCTGTTCTTGAAGAGCTTTGAATACTGTCATGTAGTCGACTTCTCTCAGAAACTGGCAGAGGATGGCAACCTGAGAATGAGACGGTGTCAATGCTAAACATCAGGCACTGACAAGCATGTATGTGCACAACAGACGCCTCGGGAGGGTAAAGAGACAGGTGTGGCGTGACTGGGTGAAGGGGGAGGCTTATTTAAAGCAAGTCAGACTAAAACAAACCAACGCCAAGGGGCCTGTACAAGAGTAAATGTCCGGTGTAGCTGCTGAATATTTGAGTATTTGTTAAATTCATTTAGTCTGTCTCTCATTGCAATGTCTGTAAAATCTGAGCCAGGCTTCCAAAAAACGTCTTCCAAATGTCTGAGTAACCAGGTTAGTACAGTGCAGAGCAGATGGACTGAATGACAGTGGAAGACTGAATAAAACTGTTTGTCTAAGCATAGACTGAGAAGTCTGCTCTGACCTGTGTGTGGCAGTTCATCATCGAACAGCACTTGATCATCCTCTTCAAAACCTTTAAAAGAACAGTCACTGTGTTAATAGGGAGTTGATAACAGGGTCACAGTCGTCCACCCCCCCAAACAGATTTTGCTTGTATTAATTCTGCTGGCTGTTACTGTAACACCCCTCCCCCCCCCCCCAGATGTTCACAGGTCAGTATTTTTCTTCGCATTACCACAATCATTTTTTACATTCCTTTTGATAAATAGGTTAGTTAGTAATCCAGGTATATTTTTATGGAAACACACTGTGGGAAACTAAAGTTCAGTATGACCAGGAGTCATAAGTGCACCAAGTAAAACCTGTTTTGTATGGAAATGTGAATAGTGTTTTATGCCAAGGGTGAACCTGTTTTGCGTTTTAAAATCACATCAACTGTGCACAACAGTAACTGAAAAAGCAATTCACAATGACTCAGTATGTTGCAGTAGGTTTCTAGCTCCAGTTTAAATTTTTTTATTTTTCATTTATTAAACTGGTTCATACTAGTATAGACAATCTGAAGGTAATCGTGCTGCGTTTAATGGTGGGATGGGGGAACCATTTTGGGAGGAGGAGCTGCATTTACCTGCATACACTTTGACTAAAAAGTTGCTTAAATCGTTTAGATTTCACTTTACTGACTGTGGCATTTCAGAATGGATAACCTTAGCCGACTTGTAACTGATCTAGAGATTCTGTCAATGAGAGCGACAAATGGCTCCGCATGGACGTAGCTAAAGCATCCGCTATTGTATGTAGCTGTATAGGATAGCATTTATTTATTTTTTAATATTACCTTAAGATGTACAGTATGTATATATCTGATAATGATCGTGACACTCCCAAAATGGTGCATTTAACCAAAATTCAGCACAGCATGACAACAACCTTATTCTCTGTTTTGTAACTAGCCACTACAGAAACTAATTCAAAGTTGCACTGAATTTGATAAAATTCAACCTGTCAGTGAGAGTAAACTTGCTTTGAAACTGCGTTTACCTGGTCGGTGTAGACATCGGGGGGCACAGCTTTGGTAAAAAAGTCAGAGCACACGGCTCCAGCCTGGAGGTAGAAGTTCAGGGCAGCCGAGTACTGATTTGTCACTACACAGAGAAGAGAGGGGAGCTTTACTTAAAACAAACATTTGGATAACTCTTTGCAAATACTTTTCTGTGGCTCCCGGCTTTTCCTTTGACGTGGCAGCACAGCGGTTTCTTCTTACCGAAGTAGATGTCGGCCTGCGTGATGAGCCACGATTGGTTGTTGGGGTTCAGAGTTAGAGCGTAGGACACCAGCTCTTTGACAGTCACAGCCACAGCTTCCACATCTACTGCCTGTATACTGTTCAACACACATCATAGTCATCATAGGTTTTGTTCAGTTGGAATAAGTGTGTAGAAAGTTCAAACAGGTTCTTACTTTGGAAGAGACGACGGCCAGATGGAGAGGTGTTCTGCTGTCACCTCATTTACAATATCATCCTGAAGAAGAAAACATTTGAAGAACTTGAAGTGCAGACTTTAACACTTACTGTAAAGTCACTAAAGCACATCTATTTTTTGTTTAAAGGTAAAGTCAGTTTTCACAGCTCTGTGAGACGTACCCGCACTATGCTGTGGAGCCTCACAAACAATGAGATGAGAGTTGTCAGCACCAAAGGCTCCTGTGCAAAAAAAGATGAAACTCATTACTTTAGTATTTTCTGCCCCCCCCCCCCCGCCGACCCCTTACTACTTCTACTACTCTAAGCTTTTTGATGAAAGTGATGAATTTGCTCCTAAATGGGTTAAACCATGAAAACGGAGCATTACTCTTTCACAGGCGCATAATCAAAAAACCCTTTTGGAAAGTTAGATATTACTAGACATGTCTACCTGTGCAGGATGCCCATAGAGGACTCTCTATGTTTAATGAGGCCCACTCGGCCGTCGCTGTTCCTCTTATGTTGCACGGACATGCTGCAGATCTGAACCACCACGTCCCACAGCTCCTTGGCCGTGCGGCGACTCTCTTTGGGACCGGGGAGCTCCTTGCACGTGGATGCCAGGAGCTGACCGAGCTGTCAGAAGGAAACAGAAGTAACGAATGCTGTGAGGGACAAACCACAGCACTTAGTTTTAACCCACAAGACTAGATCATGACAAACTAAAGCAGCATTCTAAGCCATCATGGAGAGATGTCGGTGCTTCCACAAAAACCAAACTGAATATATATAGGAAAATGTGTATTAGATTTTATACAGTTTAAGAATATTTACTTTAAGAGTACTTCTGAAATGACATAGGTATTGAATATCGTTTTGCATTTCAGTACAAGTATCACATGGCTTACTTAAATCAGAGTTTAAGACATTGTGTCTAAACTAGAATGGCTGCATGTGTTGAAATTCACTGTTCTACTGTTTTGTCAGTGATTACTGTAACTTCAACAAGCAGTTCATTGAAAATGTCAAGGCATAAGGAAATTTGTGAGCAGCAGTGTTTGAGCAGTTAAGTGATGTCTAAATTAACATTTATATGAAAACTTTATTTTTTACCTACAAAAATGTTGGTAGCTTTCTGGGTTAGTCAAATGTAAGAGAGTGATAGGGATTATATAACTGTTAGGAAGAGGCAGCAGTGGAAGAACAATGCACTCTTTACCTTGATGTACGGGTTGTTCATGACCAGAGACGGTGGCACCTGCAGAGTCAGGTAGTCGTTCTCCCTCCAGTTCAACATGAAGGCGACACACTCCTCACCTACCACCTGACGCAGTGGCAGATCTGGACACAATAAGTAAATAAAAATCAGAGTTAAGTGACATGTAGATAAGGTAGCAATTCTGCAGTATTAGCATCCACTCACCATGGATCCTCATCTCCAGGTAACCTCTGACCCTGCTGACCAGGTCAGGGGGCGGCCGCTCCTTGCTGCCCTCGGCTGCCACCGTCTCGTGCGCTCGAACCTCCAGCAGCAGCATCTCATTCAGCATCACCTGCCTCAGCTTCGGGGAGAACTCTGTAACCAGCTCCAGGCAGACCGAGAACAGCTGCCGCGCGTGGATAAAGTCCTGATAGCAGGAGAGCATGATCCAAGCACTTCATGTTTAATGGTTCTCACTGCTTGGATTTCTATACTTTGTTTTAAATTTTCACTTAACCAGGTAATCAGTTCACAATACACACACACACACACACACACACACACACACACACTTTTCTCCTGGTGCAGAGTCAAAAAAGCTAATACAAACTTTAGGTTCCACAAAGACTGGAGAGAAGAGCCACTTGATCTCAAAACGCATTTCTCAGCATGTAATTAATAAATTATTTTCTGTAGGGAGCAGCCAACAGAGACACAGGTCTTTGTGCAACCTGAAAAATTTCACTTGGGCAAAATTATTTTTAAATTGGTTACATTTCTGAGCACTGAATAAAGCCAGACCTTTATTGAAATGCAGTGGAGTCCTTTGGCCATTAGGATGTACACCAGGTCCTTGGTCACCTTGTCTTTAATACTGAGGATTACAGTGATGTAGTCTGGAGGAACCTCCCACTGTACACGCACACAAATAGCATTTTATTTCGGTATGTATTTAATTACAGTAGCTCTTACATTTGGACATTTAGAAATCTGATGGAATCCTTTTATCTCATTAAGAGTGTTTAGACATCTACAGTAAAGTATGAGACAAGGCTGGATTTTTTTTGACCTCTGACCTTGCTGTTGACCCTCCAGAAGGGCCGTTCGGCCATGCCATGAAGTTCAATAAGGATCTGTCTGATCCTGCGAGGCTCCAGGGAGAGGATAAGCTGCTGCTCCAGCTGCCCGATGTTCACACTGGCCGAAGCTGTCAAAGGATGAATCGAGACGCACAAAACTCAGTGACCCAACGCTGGCAGAATTTTGACAAGAAATGTGGACATCGTTGACTAATGTGTTGCAAGAAAAATTGATCCCTGCACCTGGAATGTCATAGAAGGAAGGCAGGGGTTTGGCGCTCAGATTGACTGTGGCCGACCTCCTCCTCATCTGCTCCACCAGGAGCTTCCTCTCCTCCTCTTTCAGCAGCTCCGTGAAGAGCTTATGAGATGACACCACAAACACCAGAGGCAGCTCCTGCAAGCTTTCACACAGAGTCCTGCACAGCGAGAATGCAGACGAGTCAATAAATATGATCCAACTTAAAAATGTGATTTTGCATAGAAAACGTTTCATATAGAATTGGTGCTGTTTAATAAAAGTCTCAGGCACTGCCTACTGAACAACATAGTGCCCCATCTGCTTTTTGACAAACAGGTGCACTGTCAGTGTGCTTAAACATCAAGCCAAACTCCTGGCGTGTGTCACTCACTTCATGAAAATGGCCATGTTTCTTCGGGATGTTTTGGACGGACGCTCCTTTTCCAGTGAACGTGTGCAGACCTGCAGGATGAAGAACAGTGAACCTTTCAGTCTTACCACGACGAGAAAGCTTCAGGTCAGCCCCAATTACACACTTTCCTCCTCAAACCTCAGTGCAGCATGTACCACTAACAGATCATGTCTGTTGCAAGGACTGTATTAGTGTGATGAAGCCTTGGGTGCAACTCTTCATACAAACCTCGGTATAATGCAGTGCTTTGGCACCAGCTGAGATGAGGGGGCAGTGCTGACCTTTCATTATTTAAGAGTTTTGTTTTTAGCTCAATTACCTCTAAAATGAAGTCCACCATTCGTTTGCTGGGCTTGAGGAGCAGCTGCTGGAAACGCACACTCAGCACTTCTCCTTCCAGAGCATCTCGGACTGCGTTGCACACACAGAGCTTGTGGCAAACCTCGTCCAGGCCTGTTTCCCTGCACAGTGGTAGAAATAGTTTGCAGACTTTAGTGTGGGGCTCACTGTGCAACATGAGTGGCTTTGTACGTAATGCTCATGTTTTTACTGTAGCAAATAACTGACAGTCAATATAAATTTAATTTTTTCAGTTCAACTCTTCATTAAAAACTAAAACTGACCAGAAATTCAGGGCAAACCGACTGCAGAAAATATCAACTGGGATTTGTGGTACAGAGAAAGAATCTTTTAAAGTCGTCAGTAGATGAAATAGAAATGCCAACAGTGTGCGACTACAATAGAAGCGGTGCCTCGTTTCAGTGCATCACACATTCACTGTTGGTAATCTATAGCCTGGGTCATTCCATGGAAACTGTACATGTTGTCCCCATCATTTAAAGGCAAAAACTGTCAATATTGTTTTCAGACATTAATTCAAGTGTACTTGTTAGCATGAAGTCAAAATTAAACACTGCATATTTTTAGTTTTCTGTTAAGCTACAGTCAGTTTCTCATGTCCGTTCTGACCACTTCTCACAATGTGCGGTAATGCTCAATAAGTGTCTTTTGTTTTTAGAAACAAATGCTTCCCTCGTATGGGAAATGTGTTAATAAAAGTTAAAATAGCATGATGTGTCCATAAATTTCATGTTCCATCCCTGTCACACCAATGTATTTGTGCTCTAAAATACTGTACAGTTTCCATGGAATGACTTGCATTCTTTTAAATGAGTTTTGGATTGAAGTGTGCGCTCACCCTTGTTGGACTTTGTACATGAACTCCCTGAGCACAGAGCGTCGGAAGTGGCTCGGCAAACTGCGGGTTGCGTTGTCTTTGATGAAGGCTTCGATGACAGCCTATGAGAGGGTGGACATACAGGGCTGAATCGCTCAGCTCAGTTCGATGTCTTTGTGGATTTTCTCAGTTTAAGTTTTACATCGTGAAGTCCCAGGTGTATTTTTACACAGAAAGTGTTACTGTGAGTGGTGGGTCTGCTCTGACCTGGTAGTTGTGTACCCGGATCAGAGTGTTGATCTGATCGTAGGGTGTGGTTTGGGAGTCAGAGGGGTCACAGTCTCCTGTCAAAGCTTTGCATGCGTTCCAGTAACCGGCCAGACGCTTCTCATCCAGGTGGACGTGAACAGTCGAGTCCAGCTGAAGAACAAAATAGACAGGAAATACCGAGAACCACAAGCATACAGTACCAGGACAACACATTTCTGTGCACCGCGACTGCATTCTTGTTCCTATAAACAGCATTTTAAACAGTGCACTGTTTAAATAAAAAAAAAAAAAAAAGAAGCCATGGATGAACAAGGAGGTGCCTTTCAGTAAATCAAAACAGGCTGAAGTTCTACTCATGATAAATGTCAGTAAACAAGTGAATGTACCTTCTTCAACAGCTCCTTTGTTTGTCTGAAGTGATCCCTAGCTTTCTCAAAGGCTGGTTGGTCTGTGCAGCCTTGCTGGAAGAAAATACCTCCCAGATCATAATGCACCTGAAACACAAAATACAACAAGCTGGATTACAACTCACTAGCTACAAAATCAGTTATTTAAACTACATTTTGAAATTAAACACAAAATGAACATTCACAGCCACTGGTTTTCTTCAGATTCAATAATGCAAAGTTTAGTTTATTAATCCTAAACATATTCCAAGAGTTCTGACACAGTCTTTGATGTAATCTGGATTCGTTGTATTCAGAGTGATCTCAGCCTAAAATTAAATCCAGCAAGACCAAACTGCGTGGTCCTCCAACCTGACAGTGCAGCTCGTCAGCACTGATGCGAAGCCCCGCTGTCGAGGACTCCGTCTCTCCGTTGGCGGCCGCATCAGCAGCCAGCAGGTCCAGAGTCCTCAGGGTGTGAACGTAGAAGTCTTTCTTCAGCCGCACAGCTCCTTCCAGAACATTGATCGAGTCAGTCGCCTGTTCTTTCAGCTGAGAGCATAATGGCCCAAGAGAAGAAATTACATTTAATATTTAGTGGAAAATTAGTTTATTAAAATCAAAAAGTATGAGAAAAAGCATTTGAGTTTTTAAAGGATATGTATATACTGTACATTAACTCACCACACAAAGGATGTTGTCCGTCATTTCTTTCTCCTGCTGCACAATACTTAACCTAAGACAAGCCACAAGTGGAGAAAAGTCACAAATACCTTGATGTAAAAGCTTTAAACTCAAAGTAAAAGCTATTTGGACAGGTTCTATTTTTCCATCAGATCTGTGCAGTACGTCTGGATGGTTTGTACAGTGTTTCAGATATAGATATACATGTTTATTTGTTCGATAAAACAAAAAGCCTGTTCAAAATCAGAGGGTGGCAACAGGAAAAAGAAAGTGTAGCACGTACATGTTCATCTGGTGAGGTCCGGGTTTGGTCTGCTTCTCTGGAAAACTGTTCTGCACTATGGTTCTGATGGCCCTTTGAAAGGTGCAAGAAATATTGGACATAGGGAGAGTCACAAGAAGGATGTCAACATGTGATGTCCTGGTGCTGTATGATGTGAGCAATGTACTGGGACTGAATCACTTGATCAACACCAAAGAAAATAGTATTTCACTGCAATTTCAGGTCACAGTGGATTAGTCAGACAGATGTCTGACCCCCAGTTTGTTTTGTATCTGTTCTCACTCACCAGCGGTTGTAGATGATAACAGCCATGGCTGTGGTAGGAGGCAGAGTTGAGAGGTCCAGGTCCACATGTTTCACGCCTGGTGGCACTTTGCTCACACACAGGAGCTCGTTCAGTAACATATTTAACACTGGTGTGGTCAAGCTGGGGAGCAAAGGAGAACAGAACACTGCACATTGCAAGAACCTACACAGTTTATTCAACTGCACACATCAGAACAGAAGATATTTTCAACTCAGCTTTCCTGATAACTTTACAACTCTAATTGTTTAGGAAAACTAGTTTCAACATTTAAGCCTGTGATACATATTACAACAGTTTAAAGTTATTATTGTTCAAGAGCAAGTATTTGAGGAATTAAGCCGTATTGTTGATGTTGAATAAAAACTGCAACACACACTCACCCTTTCTCAAGTTCATCCAGATCCCACTTCATGTGGGCGGCTACTTTCAGAGCCAGCAACTTCAGGGTGCGGTTCCTGCGATTGTCTGCTGGAGGCTGCACCTGATTCTGCTCATTCACAGATGGCTTTGACGCCTGCTCCAGGAACTGGATGATCAGCTGCGCTGGTGTCGGGTCTGTGGGAAAAGGTATAGTTATGCACTAACATGCACTCAGGCCATTTTGTTCAGGGGGTTGTCACAGTGCTTACTTCTCTCATACACTTTTAAAATTTCTTAAATATACGAAATTCTAGAATAATTAGGCAACTGTGTTGCAATGTACTTTCAGGTGAATGAGACTGCATCACAGCCTGAAGTTTGGCATTTAAATGGTCAGCATTTTATAATGCATTCTAATGATAACTGGACTACCAATACCGTAATAATATTCTTGTTTAAAATGTGGCCATGTAAACACAGAAGACATGTTTGCCATACAACAACAAAATAAAGCTAGAAATGCTGGGGTGCCTCACCAACAGTTTTTAACTCCATATTGGACAATTATTGCACAAACTACAAGCAAAAACCTGCTGTTTCTACAACTGTAAACAGTTGCATTTTTGTTTATTAAACGTACTTTGCTAAAGAATGGGAGTCATCATAAACAAAATAATGTGCTTAATACAGTATAGTGTATTTAAAAGAAAATAAGCTATAGTCATGAGTAAGTGTGAGCTGACCTGGGTTTGATTTCTGCAGGTGTTTCTCCAGCAGGCTGCCATCCAGGAGGAACTCGAACCATGACGTCTGCAGAGGGGTGCTGGGCCGACTGTTGCCCACTGCAGCTACTCGGTCTGCAGCTTCCGCACTCATTCTCCCCTGGTGAACAGTCAACACGGATGTTTACATCATCACTGTGGCTGAAGGGTAATAAACTTTAAATTTAAGTTGGAATGTAACTGAAGTAAAGCTCTATGTAAGCAAAAGAATCTAAGTTTATATCATCTCATATTTGGACACATGGTTGGTTGGTTGGTTGACTCCTCATGGGGAACACTACTGAATCTGCAAAAACAGCTGACTGTGATGTCAATAGTCTGGGGGAGCTTTGTCAAGTCAGAGTGGTGTAATTTACACATCTGGATAGCGTCATTTGAGAAGATTGAAAAAAGTGCTGAAATTCAGCGAATGATTAGATAACTGACAATATAGTAATTCATTCTCACGCAAAAATGGGACATAATTACTTTAAAATGTAAATAGCTATGGGGTTTTCTTTGCCATATCTGTCAGTAAAATAAATATTCTGGGGTTCTGACTAGCCATAGAAAGAAACTAGTTAATTTTACACTAGGTTTGTCTTTGTGGTCTGTGTAACCTTGATTTGTTTTCACGTGTAATCCCGACTGGGCGGGGATTTCAACTTGGTCCAACGGAGCTGTAGCGTAACTGGCTCTAAACTGGGGCAGCCGTTGTATATCAAGCGCACCCTTTCCTATCGTTGTCTGTGGTGTCTGAAGCTAACATTGTTTGTGATAATATTCTAGATAACTGGCTAAACTCTACAGCCTGGCCCGCACATATAGGGACGGATTATCTTACCTTAATAGGACAAAATGAATAAACAGGGGATATAAGTGCTAATGCTAAAGAAAACCCTCAAAGACAAGTGACGGAACCGATACACAATGACTGCTGGAGTCTCACATAATTCATTCTGCGCTTCCCCATCTCCGCTGTAATTCCGGATCCGCTTCGATGTCAGGAAGACACAAGTTGCGCCACATTTGCGCATATTTATACTCTGGGCAAAAAAACAGAGAAAGCGCTAAATTTGTTGAACAGATGTTACTCATTAACTGTGATGCTTACACAGTAAACGTTGGTTGTACTTTAATTACACAAATTCTTCAATGCAGACTTGATTTGTTTGAGACTAATTATGTGGAGGACTATTATATCGACAAATAAAATTGAAAACTATAATAAAAAATAAAAGCAATAAGTTAACAGTTTACTAGCCATAATTAAATAGTATTTTAACATATAAAGTAATACTGAAAATCCTGGAATTTGAAAAATTTTAAAAGTTAATCAAAAACATTGTATTTATAATATTTTAAAAATTTGTACCCTTCACAATACAAAACAACTTAAGGGAAAGGAGAGGTGGAGCTATTTTACTTAAAAACGTGTTTCAAAATCATGACTGTTGTCAAGCTGTCGCCTACAAATTGATCAGATTGATACTGATATATTGTATAGCTGGGCACCTATATAAAATCCTGGAAAAAGCACTGAAAATGAATCTGTCTTGTGTAAAAATTACATCGATATTTCTGAATTAAACACTTAAATGCAATCAAATAAATGTTGTAATAGAAAGAGAGGATGAAGCACAAGAAAACTAAAAAGGTAACAGTAAGACACAAAGTTAACAGCCTTTATCATTTTTCTCGACTTGACTTTTCAATTTGTATGCAAGCAAGGAGGCTTGAAGAGTGGAGGGATGACTTGCAACAGGTGCAAAGGTTTAACCTTATAATCACATGCCAGAAATCAAAGGAAATGTTTCACAGCATTAAAAAGACAAAGCAATAAATATTTTGTATAAAAAAAGAAAAGAAATAAACAATGTATACAAACTAGCAACATTTCAGAGATCATTTTGTATTTATCAACTCATACACACTTAATATCCATCAGCATTTCAATAAAATCCAAAATTCACTACATGGCCTTTTGCAGGGAAACAGTGGTGTTGCATGATAGCACCAAGAGAAACTAGCAGATACTTCAGGTGAGAAGCAGTGGGACATGATGTCTCAGGGCTGAAGTTGTGACCGATAGAGATGGGAACAGTCTTAAGACCCCTCAGGCCAGAAACATGTCCATTTCAAGCTCTGCACGTCCAGTTGATGAGAGAATGATGAAGCATCATATATGAACAGCTTCACTACAAATCTGTTCTGTATCTTCACGTGCCACAAGCCAACTGTTACTTTCAAATACATTCACTGACAGTGGACTCCAGCAGTAATATTCCCCTTTGACAGTAGACACCTGCTCTTACTTGCAGAACACGTCACCCTATAAACAGCCACTTTCCCCATCAAAGAAGCAAAAGAACAGCATATAAACATGGGGTTCATGAGTATTTTTTGTGATGAAAACAAAAGGATAATTTTGTTCAGCTTTTAATTAGCTCTTCATCATCACATTAGCTTTCGATAAATGGATCAGCTTGTGATCTGATGTTCAAGCTCATAATTCAATATTTAATCATAATTACAAGCAAACTGTTTGTTAATCATAATTACTAAATGGTGGTCATCATAACTAATGCTAATATGCGTAGGTCTACCTGGTTTCTTTTGCTATGTGGTCTTATCGGACATTTTTCCTTTTAGGGCAACAAGGCTAACTTCATGAACAAACCAAGGTGGAGGGGAGCCGGATTATTCAAAGGCCATGTGACATTAAAACAAGGTTTTAAGAAAACTGCACTGGTTATGTCAAGACAACAGTATACTTCTATCAGTGGCAGAGAATGACAGCTTTACAGTATAGTATTCATATAAGCAAAAGTTGTTGTCTCAGCATAATGACTTAAATTGTGAACACAAGATAAAATGCCCTAAGCATCTCAGTAACCACAACTTCTGTACAAACTGAACACACAGATCTCAGACATTAACCTCCCTCTTCAGGAAATGCTCTGCAGTATCTGTAACACATTGCTTATAGAACTACAGTGCACTGATTAATATGGCATATGTCAACTTAATCAAGGTCAATTTATGTTGATTTTAAATCAGTATGCAGACCAACAATGTGCTCAGCTGATCCCTTTTGAATCAGATGTGCAACTTTCGCCCAAACATGAACAGTGATCAGACATTTTCTGTCCCCACACTGCAAAAACACTTTGCAGTCCTCTGTGTTACACTGTAAATATGAAGTGAAACACTGGAGCGAAGTGTCAGCAGGGAGGCAGAAACTGCTGTCAGTACTGAAAGGAAATGACTGAGTTCACTCTGTAGACGTGGTAGGAGCGATTCCAGAAAACTCTGGTGAAGTAGTTTGTGTAGGGCGAGTAGTTCATCTTCATCTCCTGGCAGAATCTTCCATATTTGGAGAAGGAATACATCTCTCCTTTGTCATAAACAACCTGAAAGGGACAAGATGATATCAAACATTATGGAGATTTCTTTTTATATAATCATTTTTATAAACTCATCTCATAATGAAACATTTCAGTTTGGGGTGTCTTTGTAGCTTCATAGTCAGAAAGCAGTTTTTTTGTAGTTAATGTTAATGAGACTTTAGGTGTGTGCAGCTGCTGTATGACAACAGTGCTGCAAGCTACAGTACTATTAAATTTATTTGGTGAGGGAGTAGAATGATCTGAAAAGGATTAGCACAGTTTCTGTGTATGACAACCTATGAACTCAATCTGTTTTTGGTGTTTTTATTGGACAGAATCAGTCTCATATTAACAATATTCTCCAATCTCTTTGTCTGAAGGAAAAATATTCCACATTAATTCTGATAAGTTAAATTTCATGTCAACCTAATAATGTTTAGCTAAGAACAAATTATATCTTTGAGTTACTAGAATTATTTTCAGTATATGACTGCAACATGCACCTTTCAAAAGGTTGGCACAAGTCTAAGTGTTGAAACTCACCTGTCCATTGGAGATGTCGAGCAGGTCTTTTATCCTACAGCCCTTATTAAGCCTAATCTCATTACAAATCGATTCCTCGATTATCACGTAGTTTGTCTTTTGAGACGTCAGAATCTTATAGATGTCCTCTGCAGGCCTCATTGCATACACCTGATAACTCTAACAGAGAAAAAGAAATGGATTTTAAAGGTCCTACATTTGCTCATGAACTCACCACAAAAAGGAAGAATCTTAAATTGGAAAAAGGCTATTATAAGCTGTCCACATTGTACTAAACTGCTTTCAATTTCAGTTTCTAACACGAGGTTGTTTTGAAATGAATCCAGTTCTTATTACACCCACCTGGTGTGGACCCAAGGAAGATTAGCTGATTGCTATGGCACTCAGCTAAAGGGGATTTTTTTAAATAAACACATTAAATAAACCACCAGCTTCTCAGCTTTATCAGTCACTCACATCTTCAGCCCTCTTCAGCAGGCTGATGTCGGAGTAAAGCGGTAAACTGGTCACAGCTGAACCTGAACACAGCTTCACTGTTCCTAACATCTGAGGGCTTCCTGCAAACACAGCTGCCACTGGAACATTTAACCTGGAGGAAGAGGAGACATTTAATGGCATAATAAAGACTTCAATCATATCCCTGTGAGAAATGTTGTTACATTTTAGAGATTTATTGGCAATAGCACTGCAAAAGGTATATCCCAGAGAATATCTGATGAATCTGATGTCTCACTTGATCCAGCTGATCAGCTCGACCGTATCTGGGTCGTAGACCTCCTGCAGGTCAGACAACTCCGCTAGGACACGAGGCCAGTACTGTAAAGACAGAAGACAGCAGCACACAGGAGATGACTCAACTAGAACTGTCCGACATAAAGCGCACTGAAAAGCCTGCTGAAAATCTCACCTCTCTCCATAAACTGAACCCGATGATGGTAGGAACTGCTGTGCTCAGGATCAGAGACTGAAGATTAAAAATAAAAACAACAAACAGCATTTATAGTAAAAAGTGATGAGAGTCCTCTGTTACAGTATTTTATGATAATAAGGATACTTTTTAGGTAACAACACAATTTAGCAAGTTTAATGCCCAGAAAAGCATTTATCCAAAAGGTTTGCATTTTTATTGTCAGTATGTTTGGAAAAGTTATGCAGTTCAAAGTGAGTCAGAGGCCACTCACCAGCACTACAGGGTGAATGGATTTCAGTTTGAGCCACTTAAACACAGTCATCCAGAGGTCAGGCGAACACACACCAAATGCTGTAAACATGCAGACGTATGGCGTCCACAAATACTTCATCCTGCGTGAAGAAAGAACACGGTTCATGTCTAAGCCTGAGTTCAAATCACAAGCCATAATGCTCGATTCGGATTTTTTTTTATCAGGTCTGATCTTTTTGTGTTGATGCATCACATTCGTGTTTTTAAGTGACACATATCCAGCTCCAAAGTGAACACAGCTGAGGTCCTAAACTGCCATGCATAAGCAGATTTAACTCAAATATAAGTCATGTGTGTACAATAACAAGTGTGCAGTGGTCAAATCATACAGTTTCCTCAAAAACTGCTCTTTTACAATATGTTGCGTCCAGTTTGATTTGATCAGAAGCTTCTTCTACATTACATTCTGAGGTATTCCTAATATTCTGACCCTCTCATGTATGTAGCTGGGGAGGACAAAAATATAGAGACAGCCCTAAATATAATGTAGCCCAGTACAACACCACCTTTAATTATGACCTCAATAATAAACAATTTCACCAAACACTGAACATTTCGAGCTTCATAAACACAGATGTTCAGGTGGAAGCGTTGCATTGAATTGCATGCAGGTGTAGGGGTGTACCTAATAAAGTGGCCGGTGAGTGTATGTTCTAAAACACACCTTTATGCTGACAATCTTACCCATCAAACAGCAGAGCCAGGGCTCCAAAAAACAAGGTGTGAAAAACGTGATAAACGACCTCAGGCTGCTCTCCTATTTGTCCATCTTCAAGTCTTAGGTTGGTTTTCATTGGCTGACCACTGAAAAAGAAGTGCAAATTCTTTCAGCATCATGACATTAAACCTACAGCCAAAGGCACAACCATGATGTTTAATGAATGTTCTGTCCAATATTATTTTGGAAAGCCACCAAATTGAACTGCGTGTGATATAACCCTCCAACCTGAGTCTCCTGTAAATGGTCTGCAGGGTGGACAGCAGGCAGACGGTGAGCACCAGCAAGTAGAAGGGGAGGACTGAGGCCTGTGTCAGTCGCAGAAATAAGTCCTGCCCGGGTCTCTGGAAACTCTCTTGGCACATGAGGAGGTTTGTGATGAAGTCACTAACGGAAAAGAAAGCACTGCTATTATATGATATTATATAACTTGAAAATAAGATACTAGAAATATGGACAGGCTTCAGAACTACAGAGAATATTACCCACACCATGCCACGGGTTATTTAATCCAAAGCATCCAGTACTGTAACAGGAAACTCAAATGACAGTACACTAACTCACCTTGTTGTGTTGAGCCCAATTTTTACTTCAAGGAATTTCAATATGAAGTCACCTTCACTTACAGGTATAAGTTTCTGTAAATAAAAAACACTGGTTATTATCTAAGAACTTAACAGCTACAGTTGAATGATCTTAACTTCTTCCACAAAGGGACCAACTGAGTGCTCGCAGCTTTACCTTGACCAAATAACTGAAGGTGATCCCTGTAGTAAAGACCAGGTGGAAATGTAGGAAGAGCTTCATCACTCTGGCCACAAGAGGACCCATCTTCATCTTTTGCTGGAATAAAAATACAGACAAGAGCCATTTTTAATTAGTTAGTGGGAAAAGTACAAAATCCCCATGACTGAAAAGAAAATTCTTTATACAGTTACTTGATAAATTAGCTCAATGATCAACAGTGATGATTCTGAATCAAACTAATGTGAAATTTCACTCATGTAAAATCAGCAAATCCCTGTAATGTGTTATCTAATGTGTTGCTCTGATGTGAGGAGCAGCTAACTCTACCTGGAAGTACCTCGCAAGCACTAAGCCAATCAGGAGGCCGAGTAGCGGCGAGCTGAGCAGGGTCGCGTTCTGAAACTGGAACAAGTACACCAACAACAAGGAGCTGAGGTACACCTTGTGGATGTCGGCCATCTGTACATAAGAAAGACAGACAGTGAGAGCGAAGAGAAAGAAAAAGTGTGACAGTGCAGGATCTAAAGATAGTACACATGCAGGTAGTTTTACCACCTACATTTTAGGAATACATACTGTATCTATTGTATATCTGAGTTGCTGTAGTAGTTAACAGAAGGACAACTATCAAAGGTTAGCGTGGCCAATGGGTGAATGCATCTACAGTAAATCACTATATTAAAAAGGGAAGTTGGATGAATGTGGTCCTCATTAGCCAGGACTGTGTTACCTTACGTGATGGCACCAGGTCAAAAGAGTCGAGCAGGAAAAGACAGAGGCCTTGGATGAAGAGCACATAGTGACTGTGCTCCCAGAGCAGGAGGAAGGTGAAGGTGCTGACACTCATGGTAAGATAGCAAAACATCTACAGGGGAATACAGTTTTAATCAGTGTGTGCAGGTGCAGAGTTCCACCTGACTGATTCTGTAGTGAAATATCTCAAACATAAGCATCAGGAGAGGCTCACCTCAGTGGCAGAGCTGATGTTGTTACACAGAAATCCAGTCAAAGCTGCCACCTGACAAGAGAAGTAAGGAAGAGCCCAGCTGTCCCGCAGAGGAACAGCATGGTCCACTTTGGTTATGTCCGGTCTGTGGGAGAAATGAAGACGACCAGTCACCATGAAGCAGAAAGGTTTGAGGCATGTCTTAATGCTTCTGTGATCACAGTACAGGTGGAACGACAGGGGGACTGGAGAAAGAACGAGCACCAGGAAGAAGGCAACTTGAGCTTGTCAAATCACTTTGGTGAGGCACATGGAGAAATCTCACACAGACGTAGAAGGAGCAGTGTGAAAGTATTCTTCTCACCTGTTGATGACATACCAGGCCACAGCCAACATTCCAGCCACCCAGGTGCCGCTCATCACCCAGCTACATACAAACAGGGCAGTGACGTAGACAGCCTGGAGGCCGAAGACCGTGCCAACGTAGAAGTAAATTGGCTCCACAAAGTCCTGAAGGCACAAGGACAGAAGCAGCACTTTTGTCAGTTTGGTTTTATCAACAAAAACACTCTTTGCCTGTATCAGCTATGTCTACACTGTAGCTGTTGAAAGTAACAATGTCAAGGCCAGAAATCCAACATCAAAAAGTAAAATGCTAAAACTAGGTGATGAGCCAAATGACACAAATAAGACAACTTGGCAAACTCACAGATGAGTCTGTGTTGTTGTGTACGTGTTTCCTGCTGGGGCCCACTGGCTTCAAGTCTTCATTTTGTTTTGCCAGATTTGATTTGCTATACTAACCCAGTATCAGATGATGCAATGCAAACTTCTCCCCAGCTTTCTGGCACAATGGAGACTGAATACTTTATTTCCTAATCCAATGACAAGCCCTCTGCATTTGTAGTGTTTATTCAGGGCTTTCACAATGAGGTTCGCTACACTGGAATTACACCATTTGAATTCCATCCAGCTCAGTTTATGCTGTCACTGAGTAGACTGAGAAAAACAGAAACAAACAAGCATTTCACATGCTAAACCACTGCATCAAAGAAAGTCTGTTTACTGTGATGCTCAATATGCTGCCTTGTTTTAGACCACTTGTGTAATTCATACCACTTCACCAACTGTACAACCAAACACTTCTTCAAGCCTTTAAGGTGAGCTGAAGCCCACTGGGCCCCTTAAAGAAAGCATGTGTAACTTATGCTGATGTGGTTGGGAAGGAAGAATGACTGAGGGAAAAATGTGTCATGAAAAACTTTTCTGCTGTGCTGTAAGAATTCACAGTGATCTCTCCGGAGAAACACTGTAAACATGTTCTATGTAACATCTTATAAACATGGGAGTAGCTTATCTGTGGGACAAAGTGAGACAAGCCCAAGGACACCTGGCACTGAAGAAACACTGTATAAATTGCACAAACCGCTGAGGCAGATCTTGCTCAGTGAGAATGTGCTTTTCCCTTCTCCTCTTGAACAGTTAATGTATTAGGATTTTCTGCAGATTCTTTATTTTTCACAACAAATCTGATAAAGTTTCAGCCGGTCTGAATTTTCTAACATTATGGAGCAAAACCTTCCCTCCAGAGGAGGTTCAGTGTGATAGGCCGACTGGCGAATGGCAGGAAAAACGCTGCCTTTTCTAATTTGTTTGCCAGCGTTTGTTTGCTTTAGGGATTGTACCGGTTCAACATCTGATTGTTCTTTTGACACATGCACCTTGCATCACATATATGATAAACATATGGTCCAAACTGACAATGTCCTCATTGTACTTCATTATAGTGAACTTTGAAGCGAAAAGACTGACCTGGCTGCCTGTGACTCTGTATATGTAGCTTGTGATGAGCTCTGGATACAAAGACAGTCGCTTCACTGCGTTGATGGTCTGACCTGAAACAGTCCTGTTATCTATCGTGAGCTCATAAAACCCTGCGAAATACAAAGCAAAAATGATGATAGAGAAAAGTGTGACGTTCATGATGTGTTATTCCAAATTACTGTCCCTTTGGTGCTGCATTTTGTTAGAGGTTACATTTTTTTCTTTAATTAGAAGCAGAAAGGCTAACAGTACCTCTTTCAAAAGATGTTGCTGCCAGCATGTGCTTGTAGTAGTAATAATAAAGCCCACTGCCTGCTTGGAAGGTGATTTCACGTTCCAGCTCCTGAGAGAGAACATGTGCACTTAACTAAACTTTAGAATTAAAATTATATGGCAGTGAAGTCAAAAAGTAATAAAAGCACATGAATAAAAACGAAGCCACCCACCTGTCTAGTGGAAAACCAGAACTTCCTGTCATGATATGTAGACAGATACCCGGCATAAAGTACACCGCAGGCAACTGCTGCCAGACATCCAAAGAACACCCGCACCAGATGCTGCAGGAAACCTGCTGAGGAGCAGAAGTAGTTTTGTGGGGTTTTTTTTTTAAGGTGGATACTGTATTATTGCAAATTGTTGATGAACAATGCTCAAGTGACCTTGAGCAATAAAGGTTTAAACTGATCATGCTGAACTCAATGAGTAAGGACTTTCTCCTCATGCTGATATATATGCATAGATATGGAAAAACCACATCTCAAAATGTCTAATGGTTGACCACAGTGGACTGCAAAACTGAAAGTAAAACTAAAATGATCCTTTGTGTTGTATTATTTCATTATCTTTGTGGACTTCAGCTCGGTGTTCAACATCCTCCACTCTAAAGTGACCCAGCTCACTGTGTCTGCCCCCACAGGCAGGAAGTAGCAAGTGAGACCAGGGAAAACCACCTCCAGCACCCTGACTATCAGCACAGACACACCCCAAGGATGTGTGCTCTCCCTGCTGCTGTTTTCCCTCTACACAAACGACGAACCTCATGGGACCCCTCTGTTAAACTCCTAAAGTTCGCAGATGACATCGGTCTCATCCGACACTGTGACAAATCAGCCTAGAGATGGGAGGTTGAAGAGCTGGCCCTGTGGTGTGGTCGCAACAACCTGGATCTGAATGTGCTCAAATCAGTAGAGATACTCAGCAGCACTGTATCAGCAGTAGAGTTCCTCAAGTTCCTGGGCTCCACTATCACCCAGGACCCGAAGTGGATATCCAATATCAGCACTATCACCAAGAAGGCACAGCAGAGGATGTCGTTCCTGTGAGCTGGGACCAATAAAATGCCTCCCTGACAGTGTTGAATGATGGATAAGAAGCTAAAGTACTTATCAGAAGGAGTAAAAGTGGACTGTCAGAGATTTCTTTATGTAGGTCACAAATGACAATGGCAAAAGTATACTGACATATACAGGAAATAAACTTACAAGCAGACGAGCTCTTGGACTTTTTGACAGATGTTTTGAGTCTGCTTGAGTCCTCCTGTTTATGGTGGCTATCATCTTCTTTAACTTCACGTCCATCTTTCTGCTCCAAGTTGTCCTGTGCTCCACAGCTGGAAACACTCACCCCTTCATCTGTCTTCACAGGATCATTAATACCTATCCATGTGTTACAACAGACAATCCAGCTGTGATCTTATCGGTGCACACATCTACTGTAGATCAGACTTAACATTCCTCTGGAAAAGTTAATTGAACTTTACGTTACTGGATGCTTCTGCACAGGAAGTTAAATGGTGTTCAGTTAGCAAACTGCGAAGTTATCTTAACTTACGTTCAGTCTGCAGCTGAGGATCATTTCGGCGCTCCTCTTCTACTTGATCCTCCTTCAAAGTCTCTGCAAGTTTCCGACATCTTAACTCAGTCATGACGAGAGAAAAATTAATCAGAGAGGACTTTCCTTATGGTTTGAGACACCCGCATGCTAGCTAAGCAGTTAGCTGATACCGAAATCCAATAAGTATTTGGATTTACGTTATACCGGCGTCGCAGAACAAGATAATCTTCCTTTTTCTACATGGACTTTTCTTGCACAAATCTGCAGAGTGGCACTATCTCACCCGAAGTGTTCACTGTGATGTTGACTGTGTGGAGGACTCAGTTTAGCACCGCTGCTGCAGGGAGACGACCGGGACGTGGCGGAAGTTGTGAATAGCTACAAAAAGCAACGAAGAAGAGTGAAGACCAAACTTCACTGCAGGTCCTTGTGATTTTAGAAACCTGTCACATTATCATTTCCCTCTTAAAAACTACGCCAGTATAATCAGTGTTTTTATTCATCTTGAATGCGTTATATATCCTGTTAATGCAGGTACTTGTTTATGGCGTTTTATTGCTCAAATAGACAGAAACAAATCAATAATGTTGAATGTAAATTATCATTCTCTGGCTCCAGCATCCCACAGATAAATAAGAAACTAAAGATCATCAAATAATTGCCATATTTACTAGTAAAACATAGCAGATTATTTGAACAAGTCACCATGGACTTGATGAATATTTTTCCTATTTCCAGGTCAAAGCATTTGTTCATTAAGGGAAAAAGATAATTGACAGAATAATTAAGTTGCAGCCCTATTTTTAGTTTTTACATCTGAACAAGGCTACTAACTAGAAAAAACAACTGATGATAGGCTGTGTCAAGGGTATGTGGCAACTCAGATGAAAGAAAGAGACTGACTCATCTGATAAACATTTTCACAGTGAATGCAGTTTAATCCAACACAACAGATTTTGCATGTAGACTTCACACTTAATCTGAAAGCAGAATTGTAACTTACATCAACGAGTGTTCAATTATTCCCTCAAAATGTAAAACCCAGAGGAAACAGCAAATACAAACAATAGGCACAAATATTAAAATAACATAAATGAATTCATAAAATCCTTCAGGAACCTGTACAATTTGGTCCCAAAATTAAAAACTGGAGTAAAAATACTATCACTTTAAATTAACATGTATGCCTATAAAACACAAAGTTGAACTTCACACAAACATTAAGTGCTTTGATGTAGACACCATGGAAAGCTCTTCAAACCTGGAGCCACTAACCTCCCAGTCCAGAAGCTGAAAATTTACAGTAAAGAACCGCCCCATCACATTATAAAGCTTCATCTGCTTATTCCTCTTCTGACGATACCTCCAAACCCTCAGAGTCATCTTTTGTTGGATGTTCAGTGATCTGTGTTTCTGGTTTAAGGAATAAAAAAATTATTAAATTTTGAGATCATATTTCAGCACCAGTAACCCAATGGTTAAGCAATTAGTACCTGTGCTGGTTTTGTTCAAGCTTCCTGTTGGCAAAGCGTCTTCACCATCACACCTCTCTAATATTATTCTCACCATTTTGGTCACTTGTGGGTGTTTAGCCGCTTTGGTTGAGGACTCATCATTTGAACTGCTGCTTGATAAGTCTAAAAAAATATTAATAACACACAGATATATCATATAAAATTCCTTGAAGAACTAAAATATTTAACATTTATGTAACTGAGCAAAGGTTTTGCTGTTAACAAAATTAACTATAGCTGTCTTCCGCGGTCTGTTTTGATCTGCGTGCTGAATTGTGGCACCTTTACCAGAGTCTTTACTTGACATGAGCGTCGTCTTTGGCTTTTTCAGAGTTGTGTCCCCTTTTTTGGTTTTTGTTTGATTGTCTCTACGTTTCTTCTTCATGGTACCGATCAAGGGTTCATCATCTGAGCTTTCATTAGAGGGTCCTGCCAAACAACAATCACATCAGCAAGGATTTAAATACATTTCCTTCTTATGTTTTGGTAGCAAAATCTAATTATGTTTCATTCATTTATCTTTACAGCAAAAATACCACGTCTCTTTTTTGATGCACTGTGTTGTGACACAGGTGTCTTCTTTGCATTTTTCTTCACTGGTTCAATCTTCTTGGCAATGAGGTTAACCAGGGGCACATCATCATCATCATCTGAACTGTTCTCTGAGGAAGAGTCTTTTAAAACATAAGCATTTAATGGTTAAACTAATTTAACTGAATCAAAACTCACCCTGGCCAGTTTAGTGAAAGTGTTGCCAACCTTTTGATGATTTGTCCGCAGGTTTTGTTTTTGTTTTCTTGTTGTTTGCTGAAGCCTTTTGCTCCTTAGTAGCCTTTGTCCTCTTCATCTTTATTGTTGCCAGTGGTTCATCATCCCAGTCATCACTGGAAGACTCTGCATATGTTACTACAACAAATAAATTATTAGGTTTACCACTTTGCCTACTTTTTTCTGGTACAAGTGCTTGGAGAAAAGCATTTTAGATGTGTACAGATTTTACACCTACCAATTTTTCTTGCTGCATTCCTTCTGGATTTCATAACCTGGGCTGCTTTTCTGGATGGCATGCCAGATGCCTTTCTCTGATGTTGTGACTGAAGTTTCTTGGAAATTTCACTCAGAGGTTCGTCTGAACTATCATCATCCGGTGATTCTGTGTAATAAAACAAAATGTAAGCATCTACTAAAGAAAACAGTGGCATTATACTGACAAGCTGCGAGAAAATTATCTTACCTTTTTTATTTTTATCAACAAATTTCTTTGGAGTCACCGACAAAGGCTTCTTTGCAGCTTTGGAAGACACTCTGGCAATCTTAATGAGAGGCTCGTTGTCAGAGCTACCATCTGTGTTCAGATTACATAAAGCTAAAAATGTAAATGATTAACTATAGACACAAATCAGAAAATAGGAATATAGCTGATGACATATGGGAATGTAACTACCTGCATCCCTATTATTTGTGCCATTAGACCTGGATGATTTTTTTTCTTGTTTCTCTGGTGTCTTAGTCAGTGCAGAGGTTTTCCTCTTTATCAGTGGCTCATCATCTGAGGAGTCATCAGAAGCTACAACAGGAGAAGACAAGACATACAGATTTAGTACTTTTTGCTGTCAAATGTCACTAAGACTGTCATTAGCTGTTGACAAGTCCAAAGCTGATAACTTTGTGATAACATGCAATAACCATGACCTCCTCGAAGCAACTGAGGATCTGAAAATGAAGCAGAAAAAGAATCAGATGCCTACAAACAAAGCAGGAAAGGCTTAAAAAGATTTCCAAGCACTTCCAATTCTCTTACCCTGTTTATTTTTATCAACAGATTTTTTTGGAGAAATCAGC